CACATTCGTCGCGTCGTACTCGTAAGTCATATCGTGGTCGTAGTCTTAATGTAGTCGTAACGTAGTCGTAGTCGTCGTCGTCGCCGTCGTCGTCGTCGTCGTCGTCGACGTCGTTGCGGGTGCCTTGGAGAAATAATTATTTTCTCTATTGGCGGAGCCCGTCCGTCAATAAGGTCGCCGAAAATATAATACGTTTCCAACAAACGGGGGTTTCTAAAGAGCAATTGCGCTTAACCCTAATAATACAAAAACGTCGTGGTTTGACTTAGGTCCCCGTCTTGCATCAAGGATCCCAAGTCTGGGCGGTTTGGTTTGATACATCCCCAGAAGAGACCCCCTATCCCTAATGTTATTGGCCCTCCTAATATCGCTAATCCGATTCCTCAGGATTGAGCACTGATGACTCGAAGACTCGCGCGATGGACGTTGTTTGCGACCGGCCAGGGACATATGTATCAACTGAGGAGGTCCAAAGGGGGGAATGGCTCGGCATAGCACAAGATTTGTCGGATGACGGGAAGCGCGCTGAAACTCGAAGAGTCGCGTGATGGACGGTGTACACGGGCCCGGAGGGACACTATTTATCAAGTGGACGGGGTCCAGGTGAGAAGTGGTGGCGTGGTTGCTCCGTGATTTGTGACGTAGCGGATTAGAAGCTATGCGTTTCGCTTGAGACATCTTCACAACGTCCAATGTGCGTATCGCATGAGACGTCATTATAACCTGGGAATGTCGAAATCGCTGGCGTAATCTCTGGATCTTTGAAAATCGAGCTCTCGCTCGAGACATCATCATAGCATGAAGGTGTTGAAATAGCTTCCGAAACCTTTGGATCTTAGAACATAGAGCCCTCGCCTGAGACATCCTGAAATTGTCAAGTAGCTGTTGTACGACATCTTTTGGGGGCGCTCTTGGAGGATCCCCAAGATGCCCAAGAAGCGAAATCATTTAACAACCAATGGTCTGGCAATACTTATGTTCAACCGTAAGCGTTTCGCTAGGGACATCCTCAAAACACTGCCTTCAAGAGGTTCTTCGTAACATCAGGTCATGATAAACTGCCGATGATTCCGTTGTTGATGATGATGATGATGATGCTGATGCTGATGTTGTTGTTGATGATGATGATGATGATGATGACAATGTTTAGGATGACGATGCTGATGATGCTGATGCTGATGCCGATGCCGATGCCGATGTCGATGCCGATGCCGATGACGCTTGTGATGCCGACGCTGATGCTTGCGCTGATTATGTTGCTGATGATGGTGGAAGTGAGGTTGATGGTTCTTGTTAATGGTGGTGTTGTTGATGATGTTGCTGCTGATGGTGATGATGACAATGTTGATGTGATAGTGTTGTTGGTGATGGTGACGGTGACGATGAGAATGGCGACGACGAGGACGAGGATGACGACGACGACGACGACGACGAGGTGGACTAGGACGAAGATGCTGATGATGATGCTGATGTTGATGTTGATGTTGATGCTGCTGATGATGATTATGATGATGATGATGATGATGCAGATGATGATGATGATGATGATGATGATGATGATGATGATGATGATGATGATGATGATGATGATGATGATTGTGATGATGATGCTGCTGCTGCTGCTGATGATGATGATGATGATGCTGACGATGATGATGATGATGACGACGCTGATGTTGATGTTGACGGTAAGATGATGACCGTGAGGGTGGGACGGAGGAAATTGTAGGAAAACAGAAGAGTGAGGAGGAGAACCAGGAACAGGCCTGTGAGCGTTCGGGGAGCGCGCCTCCGTAGGCATCCGCTGTGGACCCTCGGGGAGCTCGCCCACAATATACATGTGCTCGTGCTTGTGCTGCTTGTTCTTGCACAGCTCCTCGCTTTCACGCGCTTACGGCTCATGCCAAGAAAAAGGCTTACACAATGAGCATCTCGCCCCCGAGACATCCTCACAACATCGAGGTGTTGGCGCCCATCACGTGGGCGTTTCGCTCGAGACACCCTCACAACATGGGGATGTTGGACTCGCTGCCGCAATCTTCGTATCCTCGAGAGTGGGGCTCTGGCTAGAGACATCCTCGAACACACGACATGTCGGAGGCTATCGTTTCCGACCTCGGTTCTTCACAAGGAGCGTTTCGCATCAGAGGTCCTCACAAACCGGGGATATTGACATCGTTGGCATAATTTTCGGATTTTCGAAAAAGAGGCTTTCGCCTGAGACATCCTCGACACACATAGATATCAGAAGATGTGTTTGCCCATATCTTTTTTTGAGGTTTCTTGGAGGACCCCCAGGACAGCAGAAAACGCGAAAGCATTGAATCAACCAGTGTTGTTTTTCAACACGTTTCAACAACAAGCGTTGTGCTCGAGACATCCTCAACACATGCCTTTGGACGGATCTTTGAAAACACCATATCATGATGAATTTTCTTACTATAATGACGATGCTGGCGATGATGCTGATGCTGACGCTGCTGATGATGATGCAGATGATGATGATGCTGCTGCTGCTGATGATGATGATGATGATGATGATGATCATGATCATGATCATGATCGTGATTATGCTGCTGCTGCTGCTGCTGATGATGATGATGATGATGATGATGATGATGAAGATGATGCTGGTGTGGTTTGTGATGGTTATGGTGACGATGACGACGAAATAGATGATGCTTTACTAGTGACGGGGACGGGTCACACTAGAGGCGTACAGAGGAGTGAGGAGAATCAGGGACAGGTTTGTTAATATTCGGACAGCGCGTGTCCATAAATATCCCGTGTGGACTGTCAGGGAGCTTGCCTACAAATTATTCGTGCCCGTGGGGGTGCCCGCGGGGGGGCTGGTTCTGGCCACGACACCGGACCTGGTCAGACGTCCTCGCGATGTGGTCTGGCAGTGTCAGACCTCATCGTGGTGGTCCCTGGCAGCGTCTGCTCTCGCAGCGCATGGGGGCTACCATCGGCGCGCCCGAATCGAACTGGCGGAATTTCGCGGTCGCCCGCTGGCGCGAATCATCCTTCGGGGCGCGTCCAGCGTTGATGCGGTGCGACAGCAGCGGCTTGCGCGTTGGCGTTGGGCCCCCACGGGCACCCCCAGAGCCGCGCACTAAAGGTCATTCTCGTCCGTGGTCACTGTTGCGTGCCACCGAATTTCTTTTGCCGGATCGATCTGTGAGGGTCCCGGGGCCCGAGTTGGGCTCGGGACGGTCGAAATGGGTACGGAAATAATGGGTACGATGCCCATCAGCAGCTCCTGTTCCTTTCGAACCGAACTCGCTGCCCCTGCCGCAACAGGAGGTTGTTCATCGCAGACGTCGCCTGCCCAACAGCGGCCGCCGTCGCTCTTGGGCAACATAGGGTGTCGGGCACTGCTCATTTTTTCACTGCCCACTGCGGGCGTCCACATGGGCGAGAACGCCTGGCTCGAAAGAGCCGAGACGCCAGGATCTCAGGGGCGGTCGTTGGCGCCCCCGCCCGTGCGGTGCCGGGGCCTCGGCCGGGGCCAGGCGGCGCAGGCCGCCGCGGCTGTGCTGTCGGGGCCTGCCGCCGACCTGCCGCGGCTGCCCAGCTCGAGGCTTCCCTCTCCCCCCGAGCTGGAGGGTTTCTCCGAAGGGCTCAGGCGACCCGTCCTCCTCCCTCTCCTCCTCCTCGTCATCCTCCTCCTCCTCCTCCTCCTCCTCCTCCTCCTCCTCCTCCTCCCCCTCCTCTTCCTCCTCCTCCTCCTCCTCCTCCTCCTCCTCCTCCTCCTCCTCTCCTCGTCATCCTCATCGTCGTCGTCCTCCTCCTCCTCCTCCTCCTCCTCCTCCTCCTCCCTCCTCCATCTCCTCCTCCTCCTCCTCCTCATCCTCCTCCTCCTCCTCCTCCTCCTCCTCCTCCTCCTCCTCCTCCTCCTCCTCCTCCTCCTCCTCCTCCCCCTCCTCCACCTCCTTCTCCTCCTCGGGTCGCCTGCGGCCCCGGGGGAAACCGTGCACCCCGAGCCTGCCCTCTACAGGAGACGATCCTGTGTGCCTCTTATTGTCAGTTGGCCTGGCTTTCCTGCGCCTCCAGTGGTCCACAGTCGTTTGCTCGCGCCACTGGAGGCCGCTTGGGGCTGCGGGAGGCCACTGAAGGCCACTGGAGGCCGCGGGGCGGCCGCTGGAGGAGACACTGGAGGCGGCTCTAGGCTTGCGGGGGGCCGCTGGGGTCCAACGGTGGCCATTGGAGGAGCCACTGCGGCCACTGCGGCCATTGGCCGCCGCGCCCTCTCGGCGCTGGGCCACGAGGGGCGCGCGCGCGCGCGCTCGCGTGCGCGCCGCCGCGCGCGGCCGCCCCGCGCCCCTCGGCCACTGCGGCCACTGCGGCCACTGCGGCCGCTCAGGTGATCACGAAAGGCTCCCAGGAGCGTCTCCTGAAGTCCCCCCTGTCACATCTGGGCCTCCCAGATGGGGTCCGAGCAGACGGGGTTGGAGGGTCGCGCCGCATCGCCGATGCATCGCCGATGCGGCTCGACGTGGGGCCCGATTTGCTCCGCGCTGGCGTCGCCTATGCGTCGCCGATGTCGCCGATGCTTTCCCCAATGCATTGCCGATGTATCGTCGATGCGGCGCGATCCTCCGACTCCACCTACTCCGACTCCATCTGGGAGGCTTCTACCCCCCAAGCTGGCCCTCCCCTTGTCATCGGAGGCGACGATGGGGGCGAAGAGCCCACGGGAGAGCAGCACGTGCATCCGACGGCGCCGGCGATCCGGGTCTTCTCCTCGTGGCTCCCGGAGGGATCGTGCAAAATGCCCGCCGCATGGGTTGTTCGACCCGGGGCCCGTCGCCTCCGATGACGCTGCTCCTCCTCGTCCTCCTCGTCCTCCTCCTCCTCCTCCTTCTCCTCCTCCTCCTTCTCCTCCTCCTCCTCCCTCCCTCTCCTCCTCCTCCTCCTCCTCCTGCTCCTCCTCATCCTCCTCCTCATCCTCTTCCTCATCCTCGTCATCCTCCTCCTCCTTCTTCTTCCCCTTACAG